GGTTGTAGGGAAAATAATGTGGTTCAGGGACTGTGAGACAGACTACATTGCAGGGAGGGCTAGGTTGTAGGGAAAATAATGTGGTTCAGGGACTGTGAGACAGACTACATTGCAGGGAGGGCTAGGTTGTAGGGAAAATAATGTGGTTCAGGGACTGTGAGACAGACTACATTGCAGGGAGGGCTAGGTTGTAGGGAAAATAATGTGGTTCAGGGACTGTGAGACAGACTACATTGCAGGGAGGGCTAGGTTGTAGGGAAAATAATGTGGTTCAGGGACTGTGAGACAGACTACATTGCAGGGAGGGCTAGGTTGTAGGGAAAATAATGTGGTTCAGGGACTGTGAGACAGACTACATTGCAGGGAGGAGCTAGGTTGTAGGGAAAATAATGTGGTTCAGGGACTGTGAGACAGACTACATTGCAGGGAGGGCTAGGGTTGTAGGGAAAATAATGTGGTTCAGGGACTGTGAGACAGACTACATTGCAGGGGAGAGCTAGGTTGTAGGGAAAATAATGTGGTTCAGGGACTGTGAGACAGACTACATTGCAGGAGCTTGGCTAGGTTGTAGGGAAAATAATGTGGTTCAGGGACTGTGAGACAGACTACATTGCAGGGAGGGCTGGGTTGTAGGGAAAATAATGTGGTTCAGGACTGTGAGACAGACTACATTGCAGGGAGGGCTAGGTTGTAGGGAAAATAATGTGGTTCAGGGACTGTGAGACAGACTACATTGCAGGGAGGGGCTAGGTTGCAGGGACAATAATGTGGTTCAGGGACTGTGAGACAGACTACATTGCAGGGAGGGCTAGGTTGTAGGGACAATAATGTGGTTCAGGGACTGTGAGACAGACTACATTGCAGGAGAGGAGGGCTAGAGTTGTAGGGAAAATAATGTGGTTCAGGGACTGTGAGACAGACTACATTGCAGGGAGAGGCTAGGTTGTAGGAAAATAATGTGGTTCAGGGACTGTGAGACAGACTACATTGCAGGGAGGGCTAGGTTGTAGGGAAAATAATGTGGTTCAGGGACTGTGAGACAGACTACATTGCAGGGAGGGCTAGGTTGTAGGGAAAATAATGTGGTTCAGGGACTGTGAGACAGACTACATTGCAGGGAGGGCTAGGTTGTAGGGAAAATAATGTGGTTCAGGGACTGTGAGACAGACTACATTGCAGGGAGGGCTAGGTTGTAGGGAAAATAATGTGGTTCAGGGACTGTGAGACAGACTACTCCGGACCCTGTGACCTCTGATATGCTTGGTGACCATTTAGCACGGAATAGTCCATTCCACGTAATTCAAAATAGAATATGAATTCTTCGTCATTATTATTCAGTACGTAAAACTGAATAAAACTGGAGATGAATTATTACATATTTCAGTCACGAGTTGAGACAGAGCATGCTGGTTTCATCAACAGAAATGCAAATGTGCTCTATTCATTAGAACGTATGGGATGTATGTGTGTACTTATGAAGCCTGGGGACGAGAAGCTGTACTAAATATAATTCTGGGGATTCGGTGGATACATATAACAACGAGTGAGTGAGTGCGTTTAGTTTTACGCCGTACTCAGCAATATTCCAGCTATATGGCGGCGGTCTGTAAATAATCGAATCTGGACCAGACAATCCAGTGATCAACAACATGAGCATCAATCTACGCAATTGGGATACGATGACATGTGTCAACCAAGTCAGCGAGCCTGACCACCCGATCCCGTTAGTGGCCTCTTACGACAAGCATGGGTTACTACATACTAGATGAATTCTAACCCGGATCTTCACGGGTAACATACAACCGGATCTTCACGGGTGACATATAACCGGATCTTCACGGGTGACATATAACCGGATCTTCACGGGTAACATACAACCGGATCTTCACGTAACATACAACCGGATTTTCACGGGTAACATACAACCGGATCTTCACTGGTAACATATAACCGGATCTTCACGGGTAACATACAACCGGATCTTCACGGGTAACATATAACCGGATCTTCACGGGTAACATACAACAATATCGTGAAGTTGGGCCTTTCAAGATGTTTAAATAGCATAAGCCAACGGTACATTCACCACACTCACACGCACATACGAGGATCATTACCGTAATACACACATCAAACTTGTTATGAAATAAGTGATGGTCAGCTGGTGGGCCCCGCCTGGGTCACCACCTCACTACACTCCCTCCAACCACCACCACCAACACCACCAACACCACCACATTCACTCCTTAAAACCACCACGACGATAACTTCCACTTGCCTGTAACCCACACTTTCAATATCTCAATGTGACTACTTTCCTCTAACCTGTTTTCAATTTTGTTTGAACTGTTGCTATTATTCCTTTCAACAAATAATGATATGCGATTGCACAGCGAGTACAGTGTTCAAACTTTAGAGAATTTTCAATATCATGTATATGTGCACAATATTATTTACACACAGACACATGCAATTTACGATATCGATCGAATATCAATGACCTCAATAGCAATATGACGACATCTGTCGATAAAGAGTTGAGTGTTGAAACTTGAATTGTTGCGAAGTGGTAGGGAGGTGTCAGGGTGGGGTTCTGATAGGGAGGTGTCAGGGTGGGGTTCTGATAGGGAGGTGTCAGGGTGGGGTTCTGATAGGAAGGTGTCAGGGTGGGGTTCTGATAGGGAGGTGTCAGGGTGGGGTTCTGATAGGGAGGTGTCGGGGTGGGGTTCTGATAGGAAGGTGTCAGGGTGGGGTTCTGATAGGGAGGTGTCAGGGTGGGGGTTCTGATAGGGAGGTGTCAGGGTGGGGTTCTGATAGGGAGGTGTCAGGGTGGGGTTCTGATAGGAGGTGTCAGGGTGGGGTTCTGATAGGGAAGGTGTCAGGGTGGGGTTCTGATAGGAAGGTGTCAGGGTGGGGTTCTGATAGGAAGGTGTCAGGGTGGGGTTCTGATAGGAAGGTGTCAGGGTGGGGTTCTGATAGGAAGGTGTCAGGGTGGGGTTCTGATAGGAATGTGTCAGGGTGGGGATCTTATAGGGAGGTGTCAGGGTGGGGTTCTGATAGGGGGTGTCAGGTCGGGGATCTGATCGGGAAGTGTCAGGGAGGAGTTCTGATACGAAGGTGTCTGGGTGGGGTTCTGATAGGGAGGTGTCGGGGTGGGGGTTCTGATAGGGAGGTGTCGGGGGGGGTTCTGATAGGGAAGGTGTCTGGGTAGGGTTCTGATAGGAAGGTGTCAGGGTGGGGTTCTGATAGGGAGGAGGTGTCAGGGTGGGGGTGATAGGGGGTGTCAGGTGGGGGTGGGGTTCTGATAGGAAGGTGTCTGGGTGGGGTTCTGATATAGGGAGTTATCGGTGTGAGGTTCTGATAGGAAGGTGTCAGGGCGGGGTTCTGATAGGGAGGTGTCAGGGTGGGATCTGATAGGAATGTGTCAGGGTGGGGATCTGATAGGAAGGTGTCAGGGTGGAGTTCTGATAGGAAGGTGTCAGGGTGGGGTTCTGATAGGGAGGTGTCGGGTAACGTTCTGGTACGAAAGTGTTTCCTGATAGGGAAGTGTCCCTGTCAGACCAGCCGTGACCGTTCACAATCCTTGAAATGCTTCTTCGACTCCTCTATAAATGACTACGATTTGTCTCTAGTACACAAGCAGGCCGGTTTTCACGTTCCCTTTCAACGTGTTACGATGCCTACAAGTCTCTCCCTTCCCTGGCCAGAACATTCACCTCTTTGCATTCCCAACAGACTCGCCGATACTACATCCTGTACTAAATGTCATGTTGATCTTTTGTCAAGTCATTGCCTCGTGTACGGAGGATTACATCGTGTTTCCGCTTTTTCGCTTCAAACGCATAGCTGTCACTATGGAAACTCGAAGCAATAAAATAATGGTCTTAAAACGAGGTAAATGTGTTCAGTATGCATGCATATTTTCAAGCAACTGTTTTTGCATATGCGTATATGCACAAATGCATTTGTAAATAAATAGCAAGTTTACATATTATCGTTGTGTGTGACAGGTGTTTTTCGAAAATATTTTACAGTATTGAATTTCTCCCGATGATGACGTACTTATGTTACCTTAGCGTATGCTAGTTTAATAGAGTCTGTTTTAGATATTAGCTCTGTCACGTCTTTTGGTGTGTTTGTTAAGGCTGTTTGTTTTTTTAAGAACACGATTATCCGTTTAATTGCATAATATAACATAAGCATATCGATCCATAATTTATAAGAATATTTCCCAACAAGGGTAGTTTTGATTATTTTGTCATGAACGTACCGATAATCCCAAACTAAACAAAACAAAAGCTCATTTGCCAAGTCATCGGAAAGAATGATGCTTCCATTTCACAAATTGGCTAATTTGAAAACTAAATTTTGAACAATTCAAAGACCTGTAACTGAAAATCGGTTTCTAAAGGGGGTATAGGACCACCTTTCACAAGTGTGCTCTTCAATTAAGCCAGTGTAGTCTGCTTTCATAATAGGATGATTTCGTATTTTTTAAAAAGAATAGTCAGGTTAAGTGATATGCATTTTAGCTTGTGGTAGCTTTCCAGTGAAACGTGCAATGTTTAGATTCCGTCATTGAGAGATTGTGTCACTTGTGTGTTGCGGGAACCTATATGTGCTCACAGAGACCATATAATATTAAATCGTCTCTGGTGCTCACCCCGTAAAGGCTCGCTTAGTGCTAATTCTCACACAGGATGTTTACAAAACACCCTCGTTATAACGCCTGAGTATATAATACAAGGACGTTCGAAAGTGTTGTTGTTATTTTGTTTTTGTAGAAATTCTGATTCAAGATTAAATTATAACTACGAACGATCTCTACATGAAAATGCAGTAATATATAACATGCGCATGTAATCACAAGCAGGCGCCTTGTGAAGACCACATCCCATGTGACACTTGACACCGCGTATCTACAGAGACGGGACTGGGTTAATGTATCACTTACACGTGTTTCAACCCATACAGAAACATATTGCAACAGAAACACTTACCTCGAAACGCGTGGTATGAATGAAACCAGCGTTTGGTGTCGATCGCTGGTCAGAGTCGTGGTCAAAGAGTCGTGGTCAGTTCCTCGTCAATACAACCATCTGCCACAGCTCGTCTGTAACTATAGTCACGGTTGGTTGGAGCTAGCCCGCTTTGAATTGTGGCTTGTGGGGAACAAACAATGCTCCACTCTTGGATCTTGGCGCGTATGGATCCAAACATCAATCGCACCTGCCAACATCAATCCACGGACCTCTATGTCTGTATCCCACGGACAATGCTGACTGGGTGATGAAACAGTGCAATGTACTGCAGGACCACTGCTCTACTTCCGACCTGGCTAGCTGTCACATTCCCTCTGGCTATGCATTCGTTTGTTTTGAACTGAATGCATGCTTCAACGATTTTCCACTAACCGCAATGTCCTGAGGTTGTACAACGCATGAACACGATACGTTAAGACGCTTTCGGCTTACACAGGCAACTGTGTGTTATATTCACATTTATTCCACAATCTGGAACACTATGTAAAAAAGCCGTTATTCATAACAGTGACGCAATGCATATAGTTAAGGTCGATTATGCGCCAGTCTACATGGGTTAGATACGGTGTCTGTAGAAATCCTAGAATTTGACAGACAATCAGAGACACTGTCATACACAGGTTAATTCAGTTTCACCACGCTACACTATACGAATCTCTTCTGTCCTTGCCAGGCAGTAATCACATGACCAGGAAATTATACGTGTACTATTTTAGGTTTTTTTTACAGTGTTTACTTTAACCTTTTCTCTTTTTTTACACATTGTACTTATGATTACCCTGAACTTGTCAATGTTAGGGTAGAAGGACCAGTTGTCTAAAGTGTTGATTGTGTCCCTTAGTACTGCCTTGATCATGTGATCATGGGTTCGAATCCTACATTTGCGCAGATTATGATTCTTGATTGTCAGAATTATATGCGTTGTCTTATTTTATTTTGTAAATGTTTTTGTAAATGTTTTGTAAATGTGTCATACCCTCTTGCGTGATGCTCAGAGCTCTTGTCCTATGGGACCTTAATGCTACGCAATCGTAAGTCTCTCATAGTGAGTGAGTTTAGTTTTACGCCGCACTCAGCAATAGTCCAGCTATATGGCGGCGGTCTGTAAATAATTGAGTCTGCACCAGACAATCCAGTGATCAACAGCATGAGCATCAATCTAGACAATTGGGTACGATGACGTGTGTCAACCAAGTCAGCGAACCTGACCACCCGATCCCGTTACTCGCGTCTTCCGACAAGCATGGGTTGCTGAAGATCAATTCTAACCCGGATGTTCACAGGTCTCTTAAGCATAGACTTACGATAGTCGTAGCGCTAAGATCGCTTCAAGCAAGTGGGCCCTGTGCGTGTCCCCTGTGCATCCTGTGTCGGTAAGTGTGTAGGGAGACAATACCATATCGAAACTCGAAATGTTCTGATCCAATATTGAGCTGTCCGTAGACAGGTGTTTATAAGGATTTTGCCGGGAAAATATACGGTCACATTAAACGATATGTCGAATAATGCAAGCACTTTTCATCAACTGATGGTATACCGGCTCAGAATTTCTCCCCAGCAAAAGTTATGCTGGTCGTAAGGGGCGACATAATGAATGGAGTGGCAAGGCTCGTGAACATTAGTGTCCTCCTACGCCGACTGCGCAGATGGTGCTCACAATATCGATCACTGGATTGTCTGGTCCCGACTCGATTATTTACCGACCGTCGACACATAGGGATCTTGCTGAGTTGGAATGGGGGTGGGGGGGGATATTCAGCAATCTGTTTCCATATAGCATCTGATTTCATGTTACTGGGATACATGCTGTAAATAACACTGAAAAGACCTGATGATGTACGCCTAAACGTGGCGTTCCGTGATAGGAAGGATTTATTCCGTCACGTACATCACCCAGTTAGGACTGTCCCCACGATACTACTTAAAACTGGTTTACTGAAAGCCTTGAAGAACAACTGTTTATCAACTCTGTAGCCCAGGCAACCTCTCTCCTGTATAAAAGCCAACCAAACTCGACATGGGCCCCGTTCCTCAAAGTGACGAACGTGACCAACTCGTGTTATTCCGAGACAAGCCGAATAGCGATTCTTCTTGCAGGTTACGGCAAGGGGCGAGTGGTGACCAATGTCAAAGCGATTGTAGCGCTACGACAGTCGTAAGTCTATGTTAAAGTATGGGAGTCACGATCATCTTAGCGCTACGATCGCTTTGAGGAACGGGGCCCTGGGCCTAGATTTTCGAAGCTCTCTTAGCGCTAAGATAGTCGTAAGTTAATGTTAATGCATGGCACTTACGACTATCTTAGCGCTAAGAGAGCTTCGAAAATCTAGGCCCTGGACTTTACCCAGGGAGACGAACGTAACCAGTCCAAAAAGTCTCGGGCACAACTCCTGAAGTCCACACTCTCCTGAGTTCTTCAGTGTGCAAAAGCAACATGACGGTAATAGACAAACGACAAAACACTTTCCATATTCTTAAGAATTGGACTGTACCGTAACAAAACGATTGGAGTCGAGTTTACAATTCTGACTATATCATGAGTATTGTCGGACGCCGTATTCAGCAGCATTACAGATGTACCACGCTGTTAGTAAACAATTGTATGTGGACCAGACAATCCAGTGATTGACACAATGCGATACCATGACAGAGCATGTGTTTATGAAAATCCATGAATCAATGGCAAATTCTTGAAACAGAATTCAGGCAAAGACATGCCTCTGTATGCATACCTGACGGAGCAAAATATAGGCGACCACCTAGAGCGATTACAGTTGTACATGTGACGTGAACTTGGTGAGCTAACTGCCATCACTTCACAGGCACCACTGGGGGAAATGGAGTGGTTCAGTGGTTGAAGCGTTCGAATCCCACCATGGGTACAATGTGTGAAGCCCATTTGTGCTGAATGAGGCTTAAAACTAAGCTAGCTCACTCACTCACTCACTCACTCATCCCCACTCACTCACTCACCCCACTGCAAGAACCCTCAGTTCCAACAGCAGAAGGCTGTAAACTACAAACGAACGTTCGCATGAACCTTCCACAATTACCCGGTGCACCGACGACCTACTCAAAGGCGCACAAAATGAAACCCAGATGTTCTATTTTGATTGAATTTAATAAATGTTTCTGTCACTCTCAGTGTCGACTGTACTTTGTCTGACATCAGCTGTTTGAGTAGTCTCTCGTACAGACCCTGAAGCAAATATATCCAAGAAAGCCCACACAAGTCTAGAAAATGTGGCAAGTCTAGATTTCCTCAGTGAAGAAGGTCTCAGGGCTCCTTTTCATTATATTTTATATTTTTTTACTATGAACTTTTTTCAGTAAAATATGTTCATTTCAGAGACTAGTTGTTAGTCTACTGTTTGAGCTGCTGCTTGAACTCTGGGGAACTCCATCCTTGGGGCGGGCGCGGCACGCACGCACGCACGCACACACATCACCCTTTTGTCCTGAAAGTTTATTAAATTACCATTGAAAACAGGTGAAAATGAAGTGTGCACCCCTCCCCAACCCTTTCTTAAAAAGCCCCTACTAAATCAAACTCTTCTTTTCTCCATTTCAAGGTAATTTTAATATTTGAACTGAAAGAAAAAGAAAGAGGGATAAGAAAAATATTTCAATGTAACTCAAAATATAGTTTTCATATGTGATAAAAGATATTTAGACGTTAATTAACGCTGGGGGTCTCCATGACATACTAGTATATTTGTCTGATGATTCTCTTGTGAAACAGACCCGTGAAGATCCGGGGTAGAATAGGTCTTCAGCAACCCACTTGCCACAAAAGGCGACTATGCTTGTCGTAAGAGGCGACTAACAGGATCGGGTGGTCAGGCTCGCTGACTTGGCTGACACATTGTCATCGGTTCCCAATTGCGCAGATCGATGCTCATGCTGTTGATCACTGAATTGTCTGGTCCAGACTCGATTATTTACAGACTGCCGCAATATAAACTCATGGACAAAAGAAAGTATGGGTCATTTTGAAGATCAGTAAAACAGAAACAACACAAGATTTGGATTATGTAATAGATGTAATTTGTAGCAAATTCATTTGCACTTTGCTGTGTGTACAAATCATTACCTGGTTGAAAGAACTGAAAGATGACATTGACATTCAAACAGTCAGGGGTAAATACCAAAGTTACAATGATATTCCTTTGACGAATTGCGCACACAAAAGACAGAAAAGTTTGTTCCAGAACGATCACAACGTCAGTAGCGTGTGTGTCCGCCAGCAGCCTCGATGCACGCGTGTGCACGTCGTCGCATCGATGACGTCAAGCGTCGGATGACGTCATTTGGCAGTCGCTGCCATTCGACCCTCAGTGCCACTTCCAACTCTTTGTCTTGTCTGTGGAGGGTGATGACGACCACAAAATTGTCTTCCCAAATGATCCCACAAATGCTCGATCGGATTCATATCTGGTGATCGAGAAGGCCAGGGTAGAACATTAACGTTATTCTGATTGAGAAAGTTTCTCGTCGCTATTGCTGTATGGGGAGTTGCTGGTTGATTGTTCAAGAAAGGTAAGACAACAGGCTGCAAGACTTGATTTCGGTACTCGTTAGCATTGAGATTCCCTTGAATAACGACCAAGGGTGTCGTTTGGTCGCCAATAATGCCACCCCATACCATCACACCACCTCCACCATAGGCATGGACTTCTTGAATGCATGCTGCTGCAAAACGTTCACGCCGTCGCCTGTAAACTCTCTGTCGGCCGTCATTTTTGTGCAGACAAAACCGACTTTCATCGGTGAGAGGACCTTACGCCAGTCACGCACTTGCCAGCGGTATACTCGTCTTGCCCATTGCAGTCTTTCAAGTCGATGTTGTTGTGTTAGTCTCATTCCACGGAATGGTCGATAGCAACGTATTCCACCTGCTCTCAAACGTCTGAGGACAGTCCTTCGTTGCCTTAACAAATCGATTTCGGAGGTGTATCAGGCGTATATGGTCATCTTCACGTCCGCTGGTTACACGTGGACGTCCACTCCTCGGCCTGTCCTGTGTTCGACCTGTCTGTCTGAATCGTTGGAAGAGTCTTGCTATCGTCAGTGGCGTACAACCAAATCTTCTTGCAATTCTGACGTTCGTCGCTCCCATATCGGACATAACTATGGCCCTCTCTCTCTGTTCTGGCGTCAGTCGTGGCATACTTTTCATGTGTTTTCAGCAGCTGTGATATGACGGGACCGATGCATCGCATTTATACCGAAACTTTGCACGTGCATTATATGCTAGGGGCATGGAACATGCTTTCCACATTTGTGACGTCATCACTCTCACCGTTCGAACGTGTTGCGTTTTGGCGGTGTATTTCCCTTCCCAGAAGTGGGGCCAACATTGCCAGCATGTCTAATTCTCATAACTATGGAATCCTGGAAGGGACATTGTCGCGTTGTCGTCGCGT